TGTCCACGTGCTGTTGCCCAACGTTGGCGAGTTTTATTGAAATATTTGCTAAATAAGGCGAATGAGATCGCTCAAACTCGACCCGAAATGTTGTGGATGACCACAACGATCAATTGGGCGTCACATTTGGCACCCATGTCAATAATGAGTGAGCGTTTGAGTGGGTTATGCTATTAGTGTGGCAATCAACCTCTTTTGCAAATATGGAAACGTTTGTGCTTTCTGTCCTTCTAGGAGCATTTGCTTTGTACAGTGAACGGTACAAATGATGTCAGTGGATAATTTTTAGCCGCTGCTTACACCAAGATCTTTGTTTCTGGCGTAATTACAGTGTCAAAGAAAAGCACCCGGTGCAACCTAAAAAGCCGAATACCTTAAAGTATCATAGTAAATGTAGCGTAAAAAAGAAAACAAAAACGTTTTTACACATCTATTAGGGGATTCCTTATACACTCACTAATAATTCAAGTGTGATTTGTCTCGAACACTAAAGAATAGCCAAAACATTTTAGTAACAATAATCCCTGCGTGTTTCTTTTTATATCGCAAGCTGCGATGGGTACTCCTTCATTTGCATTGCCATTTGAAGGAGAAATTAGAATTGATCCGGCATTTCTTTTGTGCATTTGGCGATACAAAGCAATCGGACACCCCGATAAGAATGACTAATGAAAGAAACTCGGAAGAGAGCTAACGACTGTGTCTGAAACGTAGTCCTTATCTCGTAATCCTAATTATCTTAATAACGTGCTGGACAATCTCCTATATGCGAGCTAGAGTATACGGTACGACAGAGACGGGGGAAATGACAGCGATTGTATACAGCTCAGTGATAGAGCATCGGACGCGTTTTGCGAAGGACACAGGTTCAAATCCTTGATTGATTGATATGTGGAGTTTAATGTGCTAAAACCACCATATGATTATGAGAGACGCTGTAGTGGAGGTCTCCAGATGTTTCAATCTTTGGTTACCTTTTCTATTTGCCTTTCTGAATAATTATTACCATGTGGTTTCTCATAATGTCTCCTTCCCATTTTCATTTTTCTTCGAAAACTAAAATATACATTTGTGATCACCATTTAATCATCTGGACCCATATTATACTATGTTCATCACCCCTAGCCGATCATACATCCTATGTGATATCTTTGCATAATCTATCGTCGACTACAGCCTTCCCCCCTTCCATGTTATCTGTCTTTCGCACTTCTCGGTACTCTTGCAAATGATTATATCATGCCTTTCACACATATTCATTAGCATTGTACCTGTTGGGTCAGTATATTCTTCCGTATCTTCCATTTGTGCATTCATATCTTCTAATATATTTACTTCACAATCTTCTCCCAATTCTTTAATGCAATTTTCGAAGCACTGCACCATTTCTTGGTTTTGATCTCAGGATTTTCTCTCTGTCCACTTGTATACAAAACCCAGGAACGTTATCTGCCCTTCAACTACACCTTTTATTCATAAATGCTACCTGCCCTCCGTTTTCACTCTTTGCCAGTCTGTATTGTTATGAATAAAGGCCCCAATACCACCTCCCTTTTTGCTGCTTTCTTTTCTATTATAATCCCATGCATAGTCCGGATTGCTAGGTGGTTGTTCCATGTCCCAAACATGTGTTTTTACAAACCTTTCTATCTCTCCCCACTTCAACCTATTCCTTCTGCCCTGCATATACCCTATGTCTGAATTTGCCCGGCCCTCGTGCATACGTTGATTTCTCCCCCGGACTCCAGGTGTCTTTGATATTGACATCACTTTGGAATCGTATCTGTCTATACCACCTGTAAAGGAATCCTCCTGGTTGTTTTCTTCGTTACTAGCTGTCCTGGACCCCGAAGGACCCACGTGCCCCCTCCTCCCCCCCTCAAAAAAAGGAGCTACTGCGCGTCCTGCCAGTCGCCAACCCACCTCATGACTTAGCCTCTTATCGAAGTGACTTTTGTCTCGTTGAAAACCACCCCACCTATGCACCTCTCTGTTTATTTCCACTTCTTCAAAGCCTTTCTCTCGACTCATCTGCCATATCCTTTTGTTTGCGTCGGCAACCGCTTTTTGCAGGTTGCCGTCACGCACCGGAATCTCCAGTATCATGCATATCACTACCTGCACCTGAGGGGAAATGACGCGTATGTCATGCACCCCATTCACCAGTGTGGTCGCTAGTACTGCTGATTCTTCATTTAAGACATTGTTTAGAGCACCCGCAATCATCAGGAGCTTTCTTCCATTAGCTTTATTTGTGAGTTTGCGCTCGCTTGCTTCATGACTGCTTCCAGCTTATGTCCTGGGAACGTCCCTACGGAAACCCTCATGTCGCCTTTAACCCTCTCTTTGATTACTTCTGCGCATCTATTTAAATTCGAATGTCCGGTGATAATTACGTGCTTCGATTTTCTGCTACAGCGTCCCGCACCTGGAGGCTACTTGCGCTGGTACCGCCGGCTGCTTTCTCCCCTCCTACCCCCTCCATTACTTCGCTGAAGCTGGGTATTCTGACCATAGAACCGGTTGAACCTGTTTTTTTTCCGAACCTGTTTTCCCTTTTTTATCCGTAGTTCTGGGTACGGGTACGCTACATCGGCCGCTCCTTTGTTCACCTTCGCAAGTGCCTCCTCGGCTGACCTAAGCCTTTCTTCCATAACCCTCGTTTTCTCTTGCCCTGTCGCCAACGCAGTCTTCAGCCCGGCGATTCTCACTAGCAGTTCATTCTGTGCAACTATCATTTTCGCCATTTTTCCCTTGACCCCCTATTGCCTACACTTGGCGTCAGCATTCTCTGCATTCGTGTCTGCACTAGCCTTCATTTTGAAACCCATCCACATCCTGAACATTTTACAGTCTTTTTAATCAAGCCTTTTTGACTCCGATTGTCTTGCTGAATTGTCCCACTCGTTTATTACAAAACGCAGCGTACGACGAACCCTGCCCTAAGCAAAAAAGTCTAAGCTCTACTACAAAATTTTGCGTGTTTGGTGTACGGGCACCCACACCACGTGCTGACAAGAGAAAAAACCTCACACAAACAAGTAAATAGCAGATGACTAACTCCTTTTAAACCCGTACAACGTAAAAAGTGCTATAAAAGTTTACATCGCTGCCTTAATAATTCAAAATCAATCGCGAAACATGCAAAAACACTTATCTGCGCAGTAGACTGGGAGCCCTCGCAAAACACGTCCATCCACCGTGCCAGTTCGAACTCTTCCGAACTCATCCCCCTAAGGCACGTCAATCAACCGTGCCTTAGGTGGAGGCGCGCCATCTAGTGAGCATTGTTGAAATCACTGGAGAGGGGGCCTTGAGTGGTGAACGGAGAAGTGTACACTGGCAACACAGGTGTACATACCGGATGTCGCCACCGCCGCACAAGGCACGAGCACAAAAAGCTCGCCGAGCACGCTCCTAAAAAATCTTCGGCCTGAATTAGAATCCAACCCAGGTCTCCTGCATGGCAAGTGGGTGCTCTACCGGTGAGCCTCACTATTGCTTGAAGATATTTTGTGAAAAATAGGCTCTTAGAATGTCGTGTAGTGGGAAGACTCCTTAAAAACACGCAATATCGCGCGGCTAAATGGTAGCATCACGCTAGGCGTCAAAACATGTGCATCGCGCAACGAGTGGTTGGTTTAAAGCTGTTCAACCATCACAAAGTGTGCAGCTCGCCGGTGCGCAAGGCACCATACGGACGCGTACTGGGTACTTTGCAAATTGTATGGCGTAGTGGGTACCTCACTTATGCACATGCAGTAGGCATTGAAGGAGAGTTTGAAACGACGCGCACAAATATTCTTTTAAAGTGAAAACTATTACGAGTTCTAAACTCAGGTCACGCGTGGCGCCCTATAGTTGCCCGCCGCCACCGCTGCCGCCGTCGAGGTTCGTAATCACTATCGCAGAAATGAGAAAAAAAAATATAGTACCAATATTCTACCACTGAGCCACGCTGGTGCTTTGGACTTGTTCGCAAACTTGCCTTAGGCAGGCTTGATGTCGAGAAAGAAATCGCGTTGATATTAGTAATAAAGTGTTTTAGAACAGCAAAAGAACAATCAGTCGTCACACAAAGCACATTGTGTAACTAGTCGGTCGTCCGTTGCTTCAACCCACTACAAAAGCTTGTTCTGCATCATCTACGAACTGCGGCGCATACCCACTTCATGCATAATTCTTCATCGTCGTCAGCCAATAGATCAACAATTGCCACAAAATTCCTTGTTAGTATTCAACGAATACCATGCTTCTCAGGGGAACGACAAAGGATAGCATAGCAAATGCCGGCTCACTACCAAGAAATTATTATTATTGTTGATGCCGTAGTGGGTACCCAGCAAGTGTGCTTGCAGCAGCTGCCCAATGAGTGTTTAAAAAGGCCCTGAAAGGCCGATATTCTAGCTTAAGCTGTCACTGTGCTGTGCCATCCACGCAGGCCTGGTGTTTTTTTTTCTTTGCAGCGCGGTTAAGGGTGAAGCTCGAGGACCTTCCAATTTGTTTCTTTTTTGAACGCCACTCATTAGTGGCATGACGCATGCGACTACGTCGAGGAGGGCATCACAAAACACTGGATTCAGTAATTACGTGTAACGCTGAATTGGTTTCTTTGGACATTTTGTTTTATGAGCGACCTATTTGTAGTACCTGAGTGATGATAATTGCTATTATACAACCGAACACCGGCACCATACGTTTACGCTGTGGATGTTATCTGAAGGTACAAGGAAAGGTTCTATTCCATTACAGCCACTGTGTCGCGCTTGAAAATTGTTAATAAGTAGGCACCACTGTCTTCTTATAAAATACGTAAATGTAATATTGTAATGCTAATATTGCAATATCATATCTATGTTTGTGCTTGCACTTGTGTGTGCGCGTGTATATATAAGCAAGAATGAAAGTTTTCGGGAACTCTTCCCCCAACCCTGGCTACGGCCATGATCATGATTGTAGTTGCCACTTTTGACGACTTGCTTTTTTTTTGACTCATGCAGATATCGCTACATCAATGTGATATGGTTCTGCTGTCACTGGTTGGCTATGAGCAACTCGTGCTACAATCCATTTATCTACGCGATCTACAGTGTAAGTATTTCGCGCCACCTTCTTTTTGCTGTGCAGTATGGATTTTCTATTACATTTAGGCATTGTCATATAAGTACTACCACACTGGTGTTGTGTACACGTAACTTCACTTAGGTTGGAGAATGTTTTTTTTTTCAATATCTGAAAAATCGATTCAACCTATTCATGAGGTGACGACCGTGGTCGATCACCTGATCCAAATCAGCACCGACATGAAAAAAAAAACGTTCTAAGAACACGGGAACAACAAATGTAGTAGCTAGGGCTGCCTTCTGATGTTGTCAATAGGGCATATTCGAAGTGATATAGCGTAGAAATTTTTCCAGACGGGACAAGACAAAGTTGATACACACTAGTGCCTGCTTGTGTCCAATTTGTTTGGTCAAGTCTCGGGAAAAATAGTCTGCTCTAAATCACTTCGATATAGTTGTAGAACAAAAAAAAATGTCGCTGTGGAATGAGCAAAAACCTCCTAGCACAATGCTCACGCTTACTTCCATGAAATTGTTGGAGTCACTTTGTCATCTAATACCAGGCTGTCAATATTGGACGTACTTCTCCTAAATTATTTATATAGTTTGTTGCCTTTCGGTTATCCGGTATAGAGATAAATCTTGACACCCTGGCTGCGTTTTGCCGACGTGAGAATTTGTGGTAACGAGAAAGATACCCACCGAAGCAGCTTACTTCATATGACTTATTAATTAAAAGAGACCCACGAAATTAAAAAAAAGACCCGCGTAGGCTTGTTTAAGAACGTGTTAGAGAATAGGGTAACAAAAATTGGTCCTACGTCTCCCAGTATAGCATGCCTCAAAGCATACCATGGTTTCGGGCCTTGGTACTGCACCGTGAAGAATGTCAAGATATTTCTTGAATGAACCCTTAATCAAATGAGCTTGACTGTTCTGAAAGCGCCACGGTTTCTCTTACCTTTAGGTATCTGTGAATGCGGCGATCAATGAATAAATAAAGTATATAACACAATCAATCACTCAACTAATCAATCAATCAATCAATCAAAAACGACGAACCCTGTGGACATTGTTGTTGATTAGCAATATTTGCCGTCAAAGTAGCGTGCTAAGCGTATACGTAAAGCTTACAAACAAGATCATGAGAGGAGGTAGCACAGTGAGGGTGCCGTTATTTATGTGCGATAAAGGTTTAGGTTTGCGAGAAAACGCTGTTCGAAAACTGCGCCCTAATGCAAATGATACGCGCAACTCAGCGGTGGCGAGAACACACATACACAGCAGGATTAAAGGTGGGCTGATTGGTATAGATTCATGACGAAAAGTAGAGTGTGAAGTATTATTTCTAGACGACACTTGAGGACGGTAGAACCTCCTTTTGTGTGGCCTTTCCCTTAGTGTTTTTCTGGTACATATTATCTTCAGTGAACAAATTAAGTTTCAGTCTGCGCTTGTTTGTTTGTTAGCTTCTTTTGCTTCCTTTTAGTTTACGCTGTGAGTATTTTTCAGTATGAACACATACACACACGTGGAATATATATATATATATATATAGTATATATATATATATATATATATATATATATATATATATATATATATATATATATATATATATATATATATATATATATATATATATATATATATATATATATATATATATATCAAAGGTACCCGGTCAATTATCGACAATCTCCTATCATGCTCTGTGCCTCAAGGACTATGTTCTTCAAACACATCTATAAGTATGTCGTTGTGATTAGTGTCTGATTTTATTATACTACAGTTTCTTCTCCCGACACTTTTGGGCTTTAAATTGTATAACTCGTAGAAACGCCATTGTTTATATTTTTATACTCTTCACTATAAATATTATGCTACATCCGTTTTGCTGTTAAATAGTATTTTCTTTTTTACCATTAAAATAAGGTTCCTACGCAGTGTACACAATGGGACCTTTTTTGTAATTATATGTCTATATCCCGTATATGTTTTGAACACTGAATAAACTTCGAAAATCGTGCAGGTATAGTTCAATGTTATAAATGAATATTGAGCCGTTTTATTTTACACATTTTGGTTTTGTATTGCCTAGAGAATGCTTAAAATTTTGAGCAACCATGTGAAACTGTGCCGCGCTAAATCATCTGAATAATATTACTCGTTTTAGAAATTACAACGGAACACTTTTTTCCGGAATTTCAACGGGCTAGTCTTTCATGACTATAATAATTTATTAATTCTTTAAGCTTTACTTTTCGCCATAGCAAAAAAAGTGCAATATGCGGTAAGTTTATAATTTTTATAGAGGTGCATTTTTTCGCACGTAATGTATTTAGAGCTTGTGTTAAAGAATTCTATATTAAATAATTAAAACACTTCGGGAGCATACCAAGCACAAAAAATGCCAGTATATTGTGAAAAGTTGGAAAAAAGTAGCATTTGACTCACATTGCGGTTTTATTTTCGCCATGTAGCAGTCCAAGTAAAAATATAGCCTATATATTGTTGCACAGTATAATATGTTAGTAATTAGATATGCAGAAAGTTTCAAAGGAGTAGTGAACCTGAAGGTATAGTAAGAAGCTTGCCTTTGCCTCGCCTTCACTGCATAGCACGTCAGTGCGAGATTCCAGCGGGGGCTTTTTCCGCAGTGAACAATGCATGTCATACAACTGCTTGTCACTTGTTTTATTATTAATACTGGCTTATAGAACGTCAAGAAAGGGTAATAGTGCTTATTTTTCTGTAATTGTATCCTTTCCTTGGACCATCAAAGGGCAGGCTATATGAAACAGCATCCTTAGTCCCAAGGCGCAGAATTAAAAGGCAGTCGGTGGCCTGCAATACAGTATTAGGGTCTTGTTTGGGTTCTGGTAAATAATGCACATGGTCTGAGCAATAAATATTATTATAATTTAGGTGTACTTTACCTAAGCTGTACTTATGACTTTAAGGTATAGGCTGATCCGTTATCGCTTACCCGTGGTGTGCATGATGTAATCATGTATTCTAGGTGTACACTTTCGAGATGATTCGATATTGTGCCCATAAATGACACTTAAGTCACCATTTCAGGAGGAAGTTGAACATTTTCATTCCTTCTTTGATATTGGTTCAAAGGTGCTGAAAATATTGCAATTAAAAGCCCATCTAGTAAAGCTGGCGTGCTTTACTATTTTAAACACCGAACGACGTTTAAAAAATATGGATGTAATGTTTAAATCACAACCAGAAATTGCGAAGTGGGTGTCATTTGTGGGAACGATACTGAATTTTCTCCTACGTGTACAGCATAGAAACAGCTTAGTTACAGTATGCCTAAACTATGCTATTATTTATTATTAACAACATACACACTAATTATCAGAACTTGAACAAAACGTGCTAATTATGTCTTGCAGGCTATCGAGTTCATTATATTTCAACCCCTTGGAACCAAGAAGCGCTTAAATTGAACCTGCACTTTTATAGGCCACGGGGGAGAGATACCGTTACATGAAATACCTCCTATTGCCTTTTTGGACATTTTGTACTACAACATTACTAAAAAAAAGGTGACAACCGATTGTATCATAATGCCTTATTTGCTCCGAAAAGTCCCCGCTGGAACTTCGTGCTGACATGGTATGCAGTAAAGGCGAGACAAAAGCAAGCTTCATATTACCTTGTGGTTGTGCAGATGCAATTTTTTTTCTCCCTAAAGCGCCAGTAAACAGGCTCCGACTTTTTTTTTTCACCCCCATAAAAGCTCGGCAATTCGTGGAGTAGACCACGGCGATCATGCTTTACAAATATTACAGCGCTGCGCGCTGCACAGAGCCTTCATTTCGAAAACCAATTTACGCACCCGTTTCCAACGCCTGACAAATCCTCCTTCCACACGCAGTGACGCTGAGTTGCTGATCGCTGACTTGACGTAGTTCGCAGGTCGTCGATTGGTCTAAACCGGTCACGACTACAGGCTACGCCTTCCTCTCCCGGTGAGGAATAAAGGTGGTGAGGCCGCGCAAAAATTGGAAACCGGCGAAAACCAATGTTCTAACCTGTGCATGTTCCTTAATAGCACCTATTCGCTATTTTTTTTTGCGGAAGCATGTTCACAAAGTAAAATTTCAAATAGTTCTGTTTATGACAATTTTCTGACATCGGGATTGTTTACAGACCCATTGAAACAAAAGCTACTCCTTTGAAACTTCGCGCTTGTCTTACTCACGAACCTTACTATGCAACTATACAAAAGCCGTATTTTTACTCACACCGCTAGATCTCGAAAATTAGGCCGCATCATACTTTGACGTTCTCTGTCAACTGACGAGTTGCGAACTCCTGTTTTGTGAGCTAATCGGCTACTTGTATGTGATTGTCACGTTGAGGGTATACATTGTGACTAGTTGGAGTTCATGATAAGTAAGCGCGAAAAGTTTCTAACCGCCAAAGAATAGGCTGGCGCTGCCTTTGGGGCTCTATTCTTTTTTTGTGGGCGTTTTGGAGTACTAACTAAAACTCTGGTAAATAGACATAGTGGTGGTCCTCAGTCGGGAGTGAGATATGCGTACTAGTAACTACGTATATGGCTAAACTAATAACGTAGAATCTATAGTAAACGAAAAGGTACGGCACGAGTTCTTTCTAATTATACAGAGCGGCGAAAGACAAGAAACTTCATAGCAATGCAATGACGTGTTTGCATCACTCACTGCATAGGGTCAGCTTTAATTGATAGAACCCGGCGAGTCTCGGCACCATACACATACACAAAGTCCACTTGACTAATTCAACTTCAACTTTTTTAAATTCAATTATGGAATTTCAAACAGTTCAGAAAAGTCCAGGCGAATTACGAGTCATGTGAAAGTGAGACCTGCTAGGCTATTAAGTGGTATTCTACAGTGCTAAGAAAGCGCTAGAGAAACACCCACATAGATATAGCGTAGCCGCCTAGCATGCAATGACAAAATTCTGTTCGAATGCAGATGCCAGACCATTCCCAATCGTATACTTACTTAAAACGCGTGATGA